CAGAGTGCAGGAGCACAGACAGGAGCAGTTCTCTCTGTGCCCAGAACTGAAGATGCCGGTCACAGGTGCTGGCGAAACGCTAGGAAACAAAACTTCAAGAACACGGCCACACAGCCCGGAAGACCCACACCAGCCTTCCTGGGTTTTGTTTTTTTCTTTTAAAAAAATATGCTAGGCATGTTATAAGTATAATTTTGCTATACTACAGTTAGTATTTCTTACTTCAAAATGGCTGGAATCTGCCCTGCCAATTTTTAGTAATCGTGCTGGTCAAAATTCAGTGGCATAAATTCAAGAGCTATACACACACATACACCTATACCTATACCTATAACATACAAGTTATGTAAGCACTGCCCACCTCTGATTTAGCTGAGGGCAATGCTTATGGTCATATCTATATTTCTTTTCAACTGGCAAATAAACTGAGTAGATTAGTAGCTCCTCTAGCTTTGCCATGTCACTACAAGAATGTTTGGGAGGAGGTTCGCTGCCAGGAAGAAGTTGGAGGATCAGCCAGTGAAAAGAAACTCTTTGCCATCACTGAATAAGTTATTTCTGCCTGGCTGCTTCTACCCCATAATGCGGAAAGCTGCATAGAAGAGATACATCTAGATCTTATAAATGCCAAAATATAAAGGAAGGTTCATTTAGAATCAGATTAGGGCAGTTTTTCTCAACTTTGGCAACTTTAAGATGTGTGGAGTCTTAACGCTGAGAATTCAACACTGAGAATTCCCCAGCTAGCATATTAAAGTTGTCAAGGTTGAGGAACGCTGGCTTAGGTGAAGATAAGAGATAAACAGAAAGGTAAAAGGAAATTAGACAGTAGCGTATTCAGGTTTTATGAAAAACGTCTACTCTTCCTAGCAGGAATTAATCTACTCTACAATCCAAGATGTATGATTTCCCCTCTACTACTCCAGTGCAACAGCAAAGCGTGATTAGAATCCTTCATCGCCATTTTAAATTATCTAAACTTGACAAACTATGGCAAATTTGAACTGTGACTTGTTTAAGACATGCTAACTTTAAACATCCTGGAGTAAATCTATCTATCTATGTGGTCACTAAAAGTCAACAGCAACCTGATGGCATATAATAATAAAAAATCAAACTTTAAACTGTGGCTTATGAAATTAATTATAGTTTGTCTTGAGTGACATACTAAATTGTTGTTAATGTAAAATGGAGTAGCTTAAGGCCATACCATAGATGGGCAGGCATACAGGAGTTTGAGGGAAAGCTTAAACTTATTACTGTCACTATAAACCTTGGTTGATTGTGATGTCTGGTTATGGCCATGATAAAATAAAATTAAATTCTAAATAGTCTATAGTGTGTGTGTGTGTGTGAAGATACATGCCATGCTTACATTACTTATGTTAAAATTTTTATCTTCTGAAGGATTTGACTTTTAAAGTGTCCAAATGCATAGATGCTCTAAAAATGGGGGGGGGGGGAATAATTTTTCAAGTTCTTTATTTGGTAAGGAAGAGATGAGCTGAAGGAGAAGAACCAACCTACTCAGGATAATTCCAGCCTCGCTCTAATGAAAGAGGATTTTCTGCTCAATTGTATAGATTGAAACACACATTATTTAGCAGACTCTTGACTTTTGGACACTCACATGTATTCCATAATGGCTATGAAAAATTAACATCTTCCTGAGAAGCAGCAGGTGCTGCTGAGGACTGGTCATTTTGTAATAAGACAATTAACAATGGTTTTTTGATGGCTTCATTGTAGCTATATGTGAGGGTTTTTTGTACTGAAGAGTAGAAAACACACAGGAAATAAGCCTACATGGAACAGCTGAATCAGAAACAGGAGATTCTCATGTAGGGCAGGAGATTAATACGCCCATGTACTCAAAGTCAAATTTGTTTCCAGTCTGACCATTTTTCTTTCCTTTCACAGGGTAAACCTAGACCTAAAGTTATCTGGAAAAAGGATGATCTGCTAATAGACTCCGAGGACGTGGGAATTCGAAACAGCAACACAGATACTATCCTATTTATCCGAAAGGCAGAGCGTCACCATTCTGGAAAATATGAAGTAGAGGTGCAAATAGAAAACATGAGTGACAAGGTCACAATTACTATGCAGATTATGGGTAAGATATTGCTGGGTAAAAGATTAATTTTATTTATTTAAAGCATTTATATCTCACTCTTCACATGGAACAACTTGTAAAATTTAGCTCATCTGAAATCAAGCTGGATTTTTTTTACCAATCCTTCTGCAAAATATATTTAGCTGTAGCAAGGCTTCCATCAATAATTAAGTCTGTTTCCCATTCCTTGTTTTGAAAAATATTTTCATAATGCTTCTGAAAAGGGTGATTGAGGAATAGGAGAAGAGAGAAAAGCTCACCTTTTAAGTATAGACTTAAAGTATGGTCCATTGGATTGGAGCCTCTGTCGCTTGGTGATCTAATCCTTTGAGCATAGTCCCAAGCTAAGTTAGAAACCACAGCAGTTGCTTTTGTTAGAAGAATGTCAGAATTTCTGTGGTGGATTTTACAACTGACCTTAATTCCATCCACTAAACCTACAACTACTAATACATAGAAAATTTGGGACAGCATGGAGAGTTTTTCAAGAACAATGAAGAGTGAGAATGCTCATCCATTTATAGGGGCAGCTATCACAAGATCCATTTGAATTTTTGTCTCAGGAGCTCCTTCTATGCATATGACAATACAATCAGCCTTTTTCTCTTTTTTTCCTCACACAGAGAAGATGAGGTGAGGTCTTATTTTTGGAAGAATGAATTCGATTCCTATAAAATACTGTATATCTGAAAGAGTAGCTACCCAATCTGATATTTTCAGGATTAATTATTGATCATTTGAAGAGTTTAATGGACAGTTGACTATCTCTGACAGGTATCCAGCTAAGGAAGATTAATGGATGCATCCAATATCAGGGAGAAAGAGGGAGAGACCAGAAAAAGGTAGTGGCAAACCACTTGTATGCTGCTTCAGAAAAGACTACATGTCCCTGTAGAATCCAGCAGTCAAGTGACACTCAAGGAAGACTTTTTTTTTACCTTTACTTTTGTACATTAAAAACATGATAGGCCCAACCAAACTTTATCCCCTTTTGAGGGATAGAAAAATGCCTTCCAACTTCTAATTTATCACTGTAAACTTCCAAAACAGGCTTATGACAGGAAGTTACAGTGAAAATTGGAGCAGGATGATGCTTTGTTTAGTCCCCTCTCCTCACTGGAGGAGATATCTGGCTCACTCTGCCTCGAGTGCCAGGTGTCCTAGCATTACAGCTGGATATCAACACCAGATTGAAGATCCTAAATATAGGGCAGGAAGATGGCTTGGTGAGATGCCACCACAAAAACATCTTCAACTCTTTTTTAAAAAATTACTTTTCTAGAGGAAGAAAAGTTTTGTTTGTTTGCTTATCTGTTTTGGTGCAAAACTAAGAGAGCAGAATAACGTGCCCCTTCCTAACTGGCAGATAAAGAGATGTGTTCATCTGTTCCTGGTAAGGCAAGTTGTGATTGTCTCACAGTCATCTATGAGTACTATAAACTCACCAAAATGTTAATAGGCCAGTTGCAGGTGCCACTTGGGAACCATAAATTGTCTGAATAATCTCCCTAGGCCCAGCTTCATTTTCATAGTAAGATCAGAAGGCTTTGGTGAAGGGAACACTGGTTATCTGGAAGCCTTCTATGGTACACTGTAGCTGATTGCATATTTTATCAGTGTAGGCTGATACAGCAGCTGAAAAGAGAGACCTCACCATTAGTCTGGAAGGCTTTTGCCTGGTCTCCTGTAAAGGCTGTAATGGGGACATCCTTACAAATATTTGAAACAAACATCCAGGTTAGTTTGATTGATTGATTGATATAGTTGCTGATCTTTAACACAAAGATTGTACAATACCACTACTGAAAGAGTTCCACTGGTTAACAACTTGTTTCTGGCTTCAGTTTAAGGTGTTTTAGAGACATTTATAATAAATCAAAGATACTTTGGCACAGTCTCTTGGAGATAGATAGATAGATAGATAGATAGATAGATAGATAGATAGATAGATAGATAGATAGATAGATATATTCCGTTCAATTGTGTCCAATTCTCGGAGACTGCCTGGAGTAGG